AACTTATATCTGATCCAAATTGACCCTTAAAATCATTGCCTCTTGTCCAAAAGTTTGTTCCCTCCTTTTTTTTTTTGTCATTTCTGAAAGGCCTCAGTGCAGTCCCTTCTCCAGGCTGAACAACCCTAGCTCTCTCAGTTTTTCATCACAGGAGGGGTGTTGGATCCCACTAATCATCTTGGTGTCCCTCCTCTGGACCTGCTCCAATGTGTCCATGTCCTTCCTGAGCTGAGGATCCCAGTGCTGGACCCAGGGCTTGAGGTGGGGTCTCACAGAAATGGAGCAGAGCAGAACAATCACCAGCCTTGCCCTGCTGCCCACATTGCTTTGGACACAGCCCAAGGCTGCTTTGGCTTCCTGGGCTGGAGGTGCATATTGTCACTCACAAACACCTCTCACCCACAAACACCTCCAGTTCTTCTCAGCGGGTCTGCTCTTGAATATTTGCTGTGTATATTTACCTATTGATGAATCTCATATTTGGGGTAAAAAATTGTCATAGGATTAGTTGGGTAAGTTTCTTTTTCTTTCTGCATCAAATTCTGATTATGATTCACTCTAATTTCTTTTTTGCCRTTAAGCTCGACATTTACTCATTTTAGTACTTGTGCATTTACTTTTTACAGCCTAAGCACAATAGTTCATGATTTTATTTACTGCACTTGTCAGAATTCCAGACTGTTTTCTCCAACTGAGATAATTTTGGACTGAGATCTGGAACTCACCACCTTCCATCAAGAGGCTGCCACCTTGCATCTAGATGTCATCCACAAAACTGGCATATGTACACTCTATTTTGTCAGGCACRTTCCTAATGAAAAATTAGAGTAGCAGCAAGCATGGAACAGACTCTTGCAGATCCTGACTTGTTGTGATCTTTTGTTTTGACAGGAAACCATCAGCAACTACTCTCACTGCAGTTCTTCAATCTGTTGTGCAACTAATTTTTAATAATTTCACCTGGACCATATTCCCCTACCTACTTTACAGGACTGTCACACAGGACTTTATAAACCCTTGTTAAAAACAAAATATGTCACATCTGTTTATTCCCCATTATCCATTAGGCCAATTACCCTGTCAAAGGAAAAAAYTAGATTCATTTGACATGATTTGTTCTTGACAAATTCATGTTGACTGTTTATTATCGCCTTATTATACCCTAGGCCCTTACATGTTGATACATTAATCTTTTGTTCTGGATACCAAGCACAGCCTTAATAGGATATTAGGACTCTGGTCAGGCTTCTTTCCCAAAAAAAGTTAAAACCACAGTAAAATAATGCAGTTATATTGTGTCCTTATCCTCAAAAAAATCCTTCACTGTTGTTTTAATGGAAAAGCACCTTTTGAATCCCRACAAATTCATAAAGTTGAACAATAYATTGATTTAGAAATACCTTTGTTTCAAAGAGACAGAGAAAAATGAGGTAAAAAACCAACAAATAAGGACTGATAAGCTTTYAAATCCTGATTTGTAGGCAAATATTACTACTGCTGCTATTTAAGTCAAACAATAATTTCTGGCTCATATAATTGGAAATATTTTTAAAGTGTATCATAATGGAATTCAAGTCCTGGAACATATCAGAATGCTGCCCAAACTTTCTTTAAAGGCAAACTGGACCATCACTCAGCCATCTCATTAAATGTGAGGGAAGAGAAAGAAAATCCCTTTGCGTAAATTGACCTTGTTGACAGATACTGATAACTAGRTAACTTCATCAAATAATGAAATGCGAAATGTGGGCAAAGGAAGATCAAATAGTCAAGCCATGAAAATTCTGTGCTTTTTTCCTTTTTGTCCAGGCCATTAGCAGAAAATGTACTCCTATGGCTACCTATAGGCACATGAGTTATCTTACTGAAGTCAGCTGGATTTCATTTTACAGATACTTTTAGCAGATATTTAATGTTCCCTATGAAGCATGCATTTACTGGTGCAAGAGCTCTCAGCAGCTGCCAGCATCTAAATGGCAACACAGGCACTTGCAGCTAAGCACATATTTAAACGTTTCACCCTGTACTGAATGCACAATGTGAGTGTAAATGATATATCTAGATTTCTCGGAAAGAAAAAAAAAATTGCTTGAAATGAACTCCACAAAACCTACCTCTGCTGTTCTAATGTTTTTTTCTCAGCATGGAGAGTCTTTGGTTATTTGCACATTCCTCCCTTTCCTTGTATGAGATTTATTTTWAAAAGAAATACCGAACACACAGCTGTCATGAAGATTTATAGATGACTCCTTTACAAAGAAGCTAAATGATTTTACACTATTGTATTGCCTTTTCTCATTTATTTGAAATGCGATTTTGATACCATATAACCAGAAAAAAAGAAAAAAGCTCTTCTGTTCTTAAAGAAATCTGTGTCAAAAGGGAGAAAATTGTGTATTCTATGCAAAATAGAAAAATCCCATAGACCAGTTTTATTGTAAACATTTTCATAATATTGTTGTGCAGCAGGCAAATGGAATTTCTATTCATTACTCTCTGATAAAACCTATCTCCTGAATCTAAAAATAGAGACATATTGTTAGAATATACACAAAGGCTAGGTTCCTAGACAGAAAAGTTATTTATTGTTGTCATGGATTTAAATCATGTTCAACAAAATATGATGAAAATGAAAGGTAGGAATATTGAGTAAATGAAAACTTTTTCATGATAATAGGAGAGTAAATCACAATGTGTGTGCTTGCCATTCATAGTAGAGTTATAAAAAAATGATAGCTAACAGCTTTTTCTTCAGAGCAATCTTTTCTTTGAATCCCAACATTAAATCTTTAGTTTTGTACAGTTTTGCTTTAAACACGGGTGGACATTTCAAAATTCCCTATGCAATGGAGGAAATAGCTCTGCCTATTCCCCTCACGTTGCAGAAAAACATTCCTAAACTGCAGTGGAAGTCTGATTGCAATTTATTTCTTGAAAAACCTCAGCAGAGCACTTGTGATTTTCAGCAGTAATAACTATAAGCACCGGAATGAGAAGAGACCATCATAAAGATATCCACAAATCTCCTCAGTGTGGTAGTGAAAAGTGGGGRAGATATCATTCCAGGTTAATCAATGGGTGGATTTTGGATCATAATCTCTTCATCAATCAACATCACTGTGGTTACCTTAAAACTCAGGYGAATATTAAAAGTGGAAAATGAAGCATACTCATCAAGGTCTCCCCATTCCATGGAGATAATATTGATCTATTTGAGAGAGGGGAGCACTAAAGCAACCTTCTGAAYAGTGTTGGCTATTTAAGTTCAAGCCTCTAACACCTGAAGGTGTGAAGGGACAGATAAATATCAGCTTRTCTTATAAGAGTTTTCTGTGAACAGCTTAGATTAATAGATTTCTTCTGAAACCAGTTTTTTGGACACTGTAGGTCACTCTGAAAATGGCCACTGCTTTTTCCCTCTCCCTTCTTTAGAATCCTTTCTAAGAGCAGCAGAAAAGGAGCAGTATGGGAGCAGACTAGTCCTCTGAGTAAAAATTATCAGTGTTCACTGATGCCCTATTTGTTTCTGTGTAGAAGGATTTTTAYTTCAAATATTTTATTCTGGAAAATGCCTAAATCCTCTCAGCTGGAAAATTTTCCACTCCATATATCAATCCAGGTTGTAYAACTGCTAATGACCAAGTAACATTACTGATGTAAAGTCTGGGTCTTTTGTCTGGATCTTTTTGCAGACAAACAAACAGTAAACCCTCTCTGAAAGGAGGTGTTTCGCTCTGGTATGTAACACTGAAGTATTTGGTATCTCTTGCAGCTATAAACTGTGTCTGGTTCAGTGTGACATGCTTTTTCCCAAGACAAAGCTGAAAAAGCTGAAAATTTTGAGTGATATATTGGGCTGGTTGATAAGTGGTTGATAAGATTCACTGTGGCCCAGAAGTCTCCATCATCCCCTCCACATGAATACTCATTATCCACAGTCCTAATTTTGGCATCTGGCTTCTGGATGGAAGAGCCTAATTTGACTCTTCTGTTTTTATCTGTGAGGGACATGWCAGCTCCAGAAAGTGCACCTTTCCTTGCACCACTCTTTGAGAATTACATCAATGTTAAAAGACAAGGTGTCCATTCAGTAAATGAACTAAAAAAACTCAGAGTCATCACTAAAATCGAGTATGTGATGCTGATGGGTGTGGAAATTGTGACTGGAGATCTTGTTAAAATAAAAAGCTGAGAGGAATGAAGAGCTACATTATTTTCACTTGCAGGTGGGAAATCGCTAAAATGAAGATTCAAGGTTCAATTTAAGCTTTTGACAAGCTCATGGCTTTGATAAATAATCAATAAACTAAAAATAATACAACCTGTTTATATATAACTGCCTATAAAGAAGCAGGAGCACAAAACAATTATTTCACTTCTTCCTGTGACTAGAATTAGGAAGGAACCTYGTGGACACTTTTTGGGTTGACCTCACTCTAAATTCAAATATTTTTATTGAGTCAGAATTCACTTCCACATTTAAATTAGATAGTGAATTAAAGACAGGGGAAGATCAGTTTCCACTAGCAATGCCCATATGAAGAAACTTCCTGAAGAGACTTGAACAGCAGAAGAAAATATATTATACAATGTTTTGTCTGCATACAGTGATTAAAAGAAGATTTCATTGCTGGAGGAGTGGGAGGATGCGAGGTAGGAGTCAACTGAAGGTGAACATAGCCAGGACTGGTAGAAGAATTAGGATCCAGCAAATATATCACAATTATTAGCAGTAATGGATCAGTCAATTTTTCCTATTTACACTCAGTGCAGCACAACTGAAGCTGATGAGCTTATGAGGATATATTGGCAGGGAAAACCTGGCTGGGTGTAAAAATACTACCAAGCCATTGTGTTTGTTTGAAACATCCTACAGCCTTTTCATCTGCAAGCAACAAACTGRAATCACAACGTTTCATTTAGGTTCAATTTCTGAAAATTATGGCACATCCTAGAAGATAAGTACATATTTCTAATCTGATACAAAATGATCGACTTACATCAGAATTGAATCTCAGCTGGCAAATGTTGCATGATATGATTTGCTTTCTTCGATGAGGAAGAGGAACTCCAAATGTATGATTTATTACAGCTTTTTGAATTGGGTCCATCTGTGAAGAGAGAAGAAAAATAAAAAGCTTTTGCTGTTCCACTGTGTGCTATATTATCTATCATCTCAAAACAGATTCTGCATCATGCCATACTGTGACCTACAGAAAACTACTATTTTTCTTTGAAAATGARTATTTCTTCTTCATGCAGTTATACAAAGAGCTTATGTGAAAAGGAGCAAAGAAAAGTGTCATTAGATACTATTGAAATATGTATCTTTAGYTCAATTTTATATGCACCAATCTCCATTTACTGAAAAAATGTAAAATCTGTAAATGCTGAAAAAGTTTACCTATCCAAACATCAATTTGTGATTTTTATATCAGAGAAAAGCTAGGTCAATAAACAAAACAATAATATTTTAAATGATTACTAATAAAAGTATTAATAAAATTATGAAAGAATATTATGTATAAATAATTCCAGAATAACACGCAATTGCTCAGTATTATCAACATAATAATAACATTCCATGAACCAACAAATTAATCTCTTCCTTGAAACAACATCTACACAACTTATGAAAAGTACAAATCCTCCAAAGATTATTTACACTGTCATTTGGAGGAAATTATTTTGAATAAACTCTGCTTTAAGGATAAATTCGAACTTTAGGAAAAGGATTCTTCTGAGCTAATTTATACCAGAACACTGAWCTGATAGTGTCTGCAAGTCAAGGTCCCTATAAAAAAGAGTACCACTTAGGCAGAGAATTTCACAAAAACTACTCAAGGGACTTTTTTATTTGGAAGACTGAAATCATCTTCCACAAATACATTGAAYAAAATGATTCATATTTCTTTTTCATAAAAAAACCCATTTGATAGCTTCTTTAAAAATCTGGTTATACCTTTACAGCAACTCTGTTAAGCCACCGATATTTTTATTATCTTTATTATTGTTAAAAAWTCACATATTTTGGCTGATTGTGATAATCAGTATTCAAAGAGCATGATTTGTGTATGTTGTGGAAAAGCCCCCATCTTTCTCCATGCCCATATCTCCATGATTCACTATTTTCTAGTCTGTTAGCAAAGGGTTATTTGATAAATAAAGAATCAGAGCTTTTCCTTAGAGTAATCAATTATTCATGAAAGTTGTAATGGTAGACAGTCATGGCCCCTATTGCAGTGAATCCAGAACAGATCACTACAGAATTTTTGCATCACCTGACAGCTGTTCAGTGTCAGATATAAAACAGGTCTTTAAATAAATTCCTGCTGAAAAGAAAATCAGATTGGTTAAAAAAGAAAWTAAGCACACATACACACAGACTCCMCAAACCAACCAAGGAAAACAGCAGATCTTTATAGAATGGTCTGGAAAAAGTTCTCCATTTGAGCATCTTCTTCAATTTGATGTGAAAGTGAAACACCTCAAACATTTGTGTAGCCCCCAATATAAAAGAACACAAATCCCACACAGAAACTAGGGGTGCCACTGTAATATAACCATGAAACAACACTCATGGCTAAGGGCAGAGCGTTTATCAAGCACTGAAACATGGCAGCATGTTGTGTAAGAATTTCTGCAGGGATCAACCATGCTCTAGGAGCACTCATTTTACTGAGCAACATGATCTTGAGACTGCCCAYGATCCAAAATTACTATTATACAGACCAGAAAGAACACTACATAGGAAAGTAAATAAATAGTGACAGCTCTTCTTTTTTTGACTGCTCAAAAAAATTCATCTGAGAGGTGAATTCTTGTGCCAGCAGAATCTACAGACCTGTGTCTTGCTACTTTCAACACTAAAGCATGAGCTGGTCTTAACTGATGCTAATTCTCTTTAAGTTTCTACTAATGCTGTTTAAGTTTGGAGAAATTCTGTTCCTTTTGCCACTGAAGGCCTAAAATAATTAAGGAAACCTAAGTTTAGATATATGAATAAGTCAGCACATGATAACAAGAAATTGTGCATTCTTTGACCCAGTGTAACTGTTTGCCCTCACATAACCACAGCTATGAGTTGCTCTACAGAACTTCTTTGCTCACTTTCTGAAGTTACGGTATTTGTAAGATAATGTGAGGTAATAAATAGCCTTCAGTGCTRACATGTTAGTCTTTCCCACTGTCTCACAAGTGTCCATTATCTCACAATGACTTGAGAAAGCCAACAAAGAAGTGCTCTAAGGATTAAATGAACGGCATTACCATGGTTCATAAAATGAAAAAAAAAAAATTTTTTTTTTTAAATTGGATTTACCCATCTTCAAAKTAAGTATTCTAGTTTCAAATGAGGTTGGATTTCTGAGGCAACTGATGCTTACATATTACGAATGAGACTTTTTTTAGAATTAAAAAGTTTATGAATGTGTAAAATAGTTACTCTATGTTAYACTTAATTTTATTTTGGTGTCCTGGAAAAATGTGGGGTTTCTTTCCTGGTAAGTCCACAGATTTTCTCATGTTTTTCTGCTGATACAGAAACCCTTCTGCAGCCTTCCTTTTGAATTTTAAAGATATTGACTTATAGATATACAGCTATGTGTCATTAGTGTAAACAGGACAATTCATGTTTGTGGCTCTGCTTGAAGAAGTGTCCTGGATAGCTTTCAAGTTAATTAAGAAAAGATGCTTCAAAATAATAATAYCTTTTCTGCCWGTTTATAGAATYGTAGAATSTTRGAATTGTTTGGGTTGGAAAGGACCTCATAGATTATCTATTWCMAACCCCCTGCYATAGTCTGGGACACATTYCACTAGACCASGTTGCTAAAAGCCTCATCCAGCCTGGCCTTGAACATTTCCAAGCATGGGAAAATTGTTTTTTGCTACTGTAAAATACATTTAAACTTAAAAACTTAGCACAAGATTCTAATAAASTTGGGACAGAATGCTTGAGGGGTATTTAACATTGTTATTTTTCCCTGGAGATTTCATTTGGGAAACACCACCAATCCACAAATTCCAAATAAACATCCAAAAAGCACCAGATAAGCCTCCACAAGTTTTATGCAGGAAATCTGAGAGGCAACAGGATACTTAGGTGCAGCATGATAAGGACTGAGATCACACRGATACTGGAAGACAGAGTGGAGGCCTGCTGAGAGTCAGAGGAACAGAGTAGCTGATTGCAGAAAATAGAGACCAAGAATTGCAGGGAAGTATAAATAGGGAAATAATATTACATAGCTGAAATAATCAGCAAGTGGTGAGATGCTTTAAAGAATCCCCAAACACTTCTAGGCTTACTGAACATTACTAATTACACATAGAAAATATATTTCAACTTATATAAGTGGTATGCACTTTCAAAATACAAATTATCATTATAAACTTTGATAAAATCTGCCTTTTACTCATTACTGGTGCTACTTTATGATTGCTGGATTTTATTTCTTAGATGAAACTCATTTATTTACTCTCATTTAAAGTGAAGGACAGAGAGGTTTGCAATTCACATGAAAGATCATGATTCAGCTGTCAAAGCTATGCAAAAATCCAAGGTTGGCAAGAAGCCCCTTTACTTCCTCTTGAAAATATATTCACAGTGTAAATTACAACACAAAGACAGTTTGCTCTGAGAGCTGCTCTGTGTTTGACTTGTCCATCACTTTTTGCTTTTCTGCTCTCCAGCACGAGGCATTATCCWTATGTCACACTTTTCCATGTGGTCAGTCTGGGCATAGCACATTGCCCAAGGTTTACTGCAAACCACAAGGCAGCTATTAGATTGGGCAATGAAGATAAATATAGAAGTTAATTTGATTCATTTTTGGTTTCAATAAACGCACACCAATAACACTGTGTTTCAATTATTTAAGCTGAAATTTGTGGCAAGATAATATAATTCATGTTCTTTGATCAAATTCAGTACTTTCTTCCCAAAATCTTCAGGAGCATACCATACTTTAGAAAAAAACAGGCTTAAACCAAGGGCATGATAGAACTTGGCTCCTTACTCCACTTTCTTAGCTTTGAAAGACTATTACTATAATTTGGTTTTGCTTGTTTTAAACTCAATCTTGCCAGACCCCTAGTAACAGCTGTATTCCTTGTTTTTGTGGTTACTGTAGACCATGAAAATGTTCTTTATTTTGGGGACTGCAGGTGAAAGGAGTGACTGTCACACAAACTTTCTGGAGGAAACACCTACCACAAAATCAACAAGTGAATCCAAAAGATTCCTTGTAATCCTGCCTGCTTGGGACACTTTTTCAGAATCACCATAGCTGCTATCGGGGAAGGCTTTCTGTAGGTAAGTCTTCAACTCATTAAATTTTCAGTAAATATCTTCATAATGCAGAACCTGAGATTGTATATTTTACTCACAAAGAAACCTGATCCTTTGAAAGTTAAATCTTACATATTTTCCACAAAAAATTTAAGTGTTTTGTCTCTCTGTTCATGTGTGTGTGTGAAGAACTGCTTTATGCTGAAGCTGAAATTCAAACACACAGGTTTTCCTGTATTTCAAAAAATTTTTTACATTTATAATTTTTATTAGCTGCTTTTCTGTGACTTCTTATCTCAGAGGCATAAGAATATACCTATGTTAGAAACAACAACAACAAAGAAAAAAAAAAAAAAGGAAAACATGCGAGTTTGATCCACAAAGGCTCAGATCACAAAAGGATAAAAACAAAAGGGATTTGTTTCTTAATTGTGTACTAAAACCAAGAGGCATGGTATGAGCATTTCAAATGCTTAAGRTTCACAGAAAATTAAGTGAAATTAATGCACTAATATCTATAAATRAAAGCATCCAGGTCAAAAGATAAAGATAATGTGGGTGCCAGAGCCTGTTCAGAGCATATGGAAGGCCTAAAGCAATCAAMTATGTAAGAAAGTATTTTTACCTCAAGACCAAAGAAATTAGCTGAAAAAGATTGCTTCAAATCACTATGGTCTTATACTAAGTGAGCAGAAAAACATGTCAGGTCATTGAAGATCTCAGGAAAAAATGGCTGCAAACCATTTTAGAGGTAATTAAAAAAAAAAAATACCCACCAAAAGACTGACTTCCAAATGAATTTAGTGACACAGGTACCAC